GCCCAAAACACCAGAGACCTTTATGTCGGCCTAAGGGCGACCCACCCAAGCAATCGAATGTCCCCACACGCGCCCCTGGCACGCGCTGCCTTCAGTGACGCATGGCTCGTTGTCCTGCGTCACGCCGCGTGAGCAGGTGCGCTCGCTACGCCGCTTATCAAAGTTTTTCCTGTTTCTTCTTTAACATTTATTGCTTTGACGCCCTACACGTTGCGCCGCATGGCGGCGTAACGCGCAGGATAAATTATACACTTTTTTATCACTTATCATCTGGGTGAAAAATGCTAAGTCACTGAGCTGCGGACGCACGCGCAGCGTCTGCCATGCCGCACAACGGAGCAACATCGCACGCTCAGGAGCAGTTCCACAGCTCAGCAGACAGAAATGGCAGTGCGCAGAAGGCGATTTTTGCAAAGGTCTCTATGTTTAGTCTCTCCCGGCGATTATAATGGCCTGGGGAGAACCGTGCGCGCTTAAATCTCGGAGGCCACAGCACGAGCGGACGCCAGCACGAACACGAGTCGCATAGGAGACGACAGCGTGAGCGGCCGCCAGCGCGCACAGGAGTCGCATAGCAGACGACAGCACGAGCGGCCGCCAGCGCGCACAGGAGTCGCATAGCAGACGACTGACGGGGGTTGACAGTCAAAGCGAGAACAGCGACAGGATCTCTACACGCATGCGCAAAACTTCACAACGGCGCCGCAGGGCGGCGCCTCAGGTAGCGGCGACACGCGGAGGCGCGTTCACGCTCATATTCTTTCCGATAGTACGCCCACTCTAGAGATGCGCACGCTTCCCTAGAGTGGTACGCACCCTAGGCAGCGGGCACGCTTCATACGCAGCGTACCCGCTGCGTATGAAGCGGACGTCTTTCCACTGAGCTACTGAGGGAACTCTTTCTTTCGTAGTTATGCGCGAAGCACATTGTAGGAAATCGCGTACCGCCGCCGATTCGCTGTTTCCCACGTGGTCCGTCAACAAACCGAGCCCAGCCTGGTTCTTTCACGGGAGCGGGATTCCGCTCCCCGTTTATTCGTACAATAAAACACAACTCTACAAAACACTTAATCTAAACTACAAATACACTCGACATTACACAAATATTTACAAACGCACGTTAAGACCAACGCTAAACACAAAGGAGGCCCTTAGGCCTCGCGTCCCGCGATATCCTCGATCCGGTCGCCACCCACTTGCCTGCCAGTGCCTGCGTCTCGGTCGCGTCCGGAGTTCTTAGAGACCTATCGTCCCCTGCCCCACCGAGTATATATCTATCGATGGGCGAGGAGGTTTCTCCTCGCCTGCCACGGGGGCGCCTGCAGCGCCCTCCAGTGGCTAGGAGAGAAAGCGGCGCGTCGGGAGCCGAATTCGAGTTCCCGATCGACCCCGCGGCAACACGACCATGTGATCGTGTCGCGGCCAAGATTGGCCGAATGGTTTGATGGGCGCCCTCGTGAATGCACGGTGCGCCATAACATGTACGACGGAACCTTCCGATCCGACGTGCGGACTGCCGGAATGACCTTGGGGGGCGAGGGTTTTCGTAGCATCGGAGAGCGTTGAAAACCCTCGCCTCCGACCGTCGTATTGCGTGGTCGGACGTCGGATCAGACGGTTTCGTCGTACATGTGTTTCGCGCTTTATGCCAGTTATGCATCCGGTCGACTGTATGTCGGAAAGTTTGCTGCCGATTTTCCTCCAATACATGCACTCCCGGCTTGAAGTCGGGCAGCACCACGCATTGGCCATATTCGCGCCAAGCAAAGAAACCGTACTCGTGCGTATTCAACTCGATGTACGCACTTCGTGCTTGACGTTTGAGTGAGCAATGTCTTCAGCCACGAGAAGGGACGACGGATCGGCGATGTCTTCATGTAATCGGCTTGCTGGTAGCCCGTGTCGTACGGGATGAGTATCAGTTCTTTTGATCGGTCCAAAATTTCTCTTTCGAAGGAATACAGAAATAGTTGGTGCCGTGAACAACGTCTCTGAAGTAGAGGTCCCACGCCGGTCGTCCGTTGCCACCCGCGAGTCCCACGAAAAGCGAAACGACGCCATGTTGAGACTTATGCAGTGAACGCACAGAATGCTTCCGGTTGTCTGTGCAACCTTTTTTTTTTTTCAATCAACGTATTTGCAGCTTTTTGGAAGCCACAAAAAAATGGGTTTCATAATTTTTTCTATTTTTAGTATTGACTGTGTGCCTTCAATGACCCACGACTTTAATTAAATTTGGTGGTCGCGTCGAAACCTTGGAAAACGGCCCGTGACCACGGAAAGAGAGTGAGCGCGACTCAAACCGGCCAGTTCTCGATCGGTGGTTTTTGGGCGGAAAGAAACCGAATTTCGAGCCGCAAATTTTGTTCTGGGTAGTTGGGCTCTCATATGTCACGTACGACTAAAAACCTCGGCGAGCATAAATACCCTGCCAGTGTCCCTTTAATGCCTTAGTGACTTTAATGACCATATTAAATAGTCAACTGGTAACGAAAAGCAAAATAACTATTCCAAAACGGAGACACTGCTTTGACTCGCTTCGTTCTGTGTGGTGCTATACAGAGAAGCGATAACGATTCTTCTTGGAGCCGTTTAGCGGATGTTGTTATAGCGACTGCGCCGAATTATTATTCGTTGTACCAATGCTTTTAGTAAGAGATATCGTCCACGAACTTTGAAACACTGTTTTCCGTTTGACAGACTCCCGAGGAGAAGATCGATTGCTTAGAACCTTAATAAGTGCAGAGGTGGTCACCGGCCAAATGATATGTAGGCTATATAAGGCTCTGAAGCAGTCAACGGGACTGTGACTAAGGTGTTCGGTGCTTCATTCTGTTTGTGTTCGTTTCTAATGTGTAGTTTCAGGACGTATGTAGTAGTAACTCAAAATACCACAGGGACACCATTTACTAACAAAATCCGCAATAAAGAAAATTACTTTGAAGAAACATTCGCCGGCTATTTATTGTTTATGACCGTGGTGCTGGTGAGATAGGCCTTTATCGAATAGGTGAGGTGCATTTGGCTGAAGTGCTGTGGCACCGCGGATGCATCACTGTGAAAAGGCAGAGAGCTTTCGAAGGAAAGAAGGTGTAAATGAGCCCGCTTTTCTTTTAAAAGTTCCATAGCAAAACCTTTTTTGGGTTCTATATTTTTGTTTTTGGCTTTCTTTTCCCAATTTTTACGACGTGCAGTGGATGAATACCAATTTCAAAATCGTTTCATGTTTTCCTTAAAGTAGACATTAACCAGTTCGCTTTTGCGGTGTTCTTGTGCATTCTCATGGGAAAACGCGCATGCATTTTGTGTCTGCACCGGAGAATTACAGTAATATCACCTTTGTTACAAGGGTCGTAGCCGAATAGTAGGTAACTCTACTAACCTTAAAAAAGTTCAATTACTTTATTCACAGTACTTTTCTGACCAGGGAGAGATATTCCACTTCCCTGCATTTCGGGCCCAATCCCATGCTCCACAGCAAGTGTGTAAAAAGCAAACGACGAATTTAGGCAAGAATAGCAGTTGAAAGGAACGTAGGGGGTGTTCAAAAAACGCCAACATCCCGATGACGCTAATATTAATAATCCGCGAGATTGATATGCCACTAACATGACCGCGATCTACGCGTGGTCGAAAACACGTAAAAAGGTAAAAATACGCGGATTATAAAATGTTAACCTTTTTATTACTATGCTGATTTTATAGGGAAATAAAAGTTTTCTTGTTTTTTCGTCCTATTTCTACACTTTCGAGCATGCATATACGATGTTCTGAACGCTAAAACAAAGTTCCCTTTGTGGATATACATGAGCAAAAAAAAATAAAACAAACGTTATTTTTTGGAAATCGCACTCGTTACTTGGCTTTCACTTCATTTTGGTCGTCAACATGCGCAGGCAGGTACTGAGCTAATGTCGGCGCTTAGTTCTTGACGTTTTCTGATTTTTGAGACGACCTTCATAGCTTTGGCACGTAAACACCCCTGCAGAAAGGCGCCGATGCCTTGTTCGCGCTAACAGTGCCGAACAGCGTACGTTAATGCATGTATGAAGCAATGCTTGTGACGGTTTTTAAAGACATTAATTAAAATTTAAAAAAAAATAGAATCGAAATGACAAGTATTTTTATCTACAGGACTGATAAATGTATCAAGCTATCTATTACAAAAAATTGCTTCGTGATATTTGCTTCAATAATCAAGCGCACGATGGAGGTACAGCCACCTTTACACATTAAGATGCATTATCGGAAGTCAATTTGAGACTTTTTGCTCTCTGATCTAATTTGAAACAACACACTAGCGCAAGCAGAACCTCTAGCGTACAATATAATTGGGATTCCGTGTTATTGAATGTTATGTGTTGTAAAATTCGGAGGGTATTTTGTGGCGTTTATTTTTCGTTGGCGATTCCGGGTTTACCGGAGTTAATATTTGCTAGGTTCCAAATTCTCCGGAATTCGGAGCTTAATTTATTGCGTTATTATATCTTTCAAAATAAAAGTAAATATTGTTCGGACAAAAACATACACTAAATTTATTTTTAATAAAAACCACCGGCATCGGAAGATGTTTTTGTCGTTGCATATATCACTGGCGCCCTTGCAATGTACGGTACCACGATAGATCTTGAAAACAAATGCTACTTCAATAAACGCTGGTACTTTAAAACAGCCGAACTCCTGGACGCATAAAACCTTTAACTGCCCGGTGCATTCCCAAAGCTATGAAATCTACAGGTTCGTAACTTTCCTAGTTACAAAATCACAACCCCTTTTCTCTTTAAAAAGCACAAATAGTATGGTCCAGACTGGAAACAGGAACAGTCGCTTTTTTTCGTGGTTCAGAAGTACATTCGCCCATTGTACTACGAGAGTAAAAAATGAAATGCAAGAAAAACGATTCGTAGCCCATCCTTTTCTACGTGGTTGATTGGCTTTAAAGCAAAACTCCAGGTGATGGCGTACATGAACAGCACATAAAATGTTCAGTTTTGGCTTACCCTGTGACGACAAGGAGGAGGTCTGCAGGAGCTTTCAGTGTCTTGTTTTGAATGAGTGCTGCTAGATTAAAAAGCGTTAAGACTCCGTTAAAATACGTGACGTTATGCGTGACCGAACCGCTCGTTTCTTCACGTGTCACGTTCACAATGTGTTTGTCGTCCTGAAGCAAAAATAAGTAAAAAAAGTTACAATACTGAACACTGGAAATATATATTTAAAAGTTATTTGGTCAGTACGTACTCCGCTTAACTCGACGCCAGTGAGGAGGAACTGTACTTTCGGGTCGCTGAGCTGTTTGTATCGCAGATTTACCTTCATGAAGACAGAAAATTCTAAAATTAACATTTAACAACAACGTTTCGACAATCGCACTGTCTTCTTCAGGATGTCCTGAAGAAGACAGTGCCACTGTCGAACCGCAGACGGACGTCAGGCACCTTTACTATTTTTAATTCCGTATTCTATTGTCCATTTACTAATTTATTTGTGGAGATTCTTGTGTTTGGCTTTTATTCTGTCACTTTTAAGTGCATTCCCTCCGTATCTAGCGGTCTTGTGTCTTGCGTTGATTGTTCTTGTAAACTAATACTAATTTTTTTTCGGCACTTTTTTCTTGTGCGACTTTTCCCTTCATTCGCCATTAAATTAGATTTTCTAATTTTATGATCCCACAGCTGCTGGGTCATCGCACCTGCATTTTGCATACATATTGTGGTCCAAGTCACTAGGATCGATCTAAGATGGACCGTAACAATCGACGCCTGCACGTAGCAATCTAAACTTTTCGTCAAAGGTGTATTTCACAGGTCGGTTTTTTCGTTTAAAATTATAACACGTAGTTCTCTCTAGTTCTCTCTCTGTAAAAAATAAGACCTAGAAACTTGCCAGGGTCTACGGCGGGCAGCGACGCAGAGGACAGGGGTTCAGTAGTGGGGTGTGTTTGGCGTTCGTATTGATAGATGGCGCCACCTCCTTATCGCGACGGCTCGCGACCACCGTGGTTTATTAAAATGAACATTATATTCTTGCAATGTACTTTCGATTAAAAATAAATACGGACAATAAAAGCAAAACTTAAAGTAAAAAAAAAAAAACGCGTCTGCATAACGACGGCGCTTTTGCTGCCAACGGATTTCTTCTGTGTGTCGTCTGCTTTCTTTCGCTTGTCGGCTGCACCTTCGGACGCTTCTCCCGACGCCATCTATCAAGTTCAACACGAACGCCGAACACACCCCGCTACTGAACCCCTGTCGTCTGCGTCGCTGCCCGCCGTAGACCCTGGCAAGTTTCTTGGTCTTATTTCTTACAGAACGAGAACTACGCTTTTTAATTTTACAAGAAAAAACCGACCTGTGATGTACACCTTTGACGAAAAGTTTAGATTGCTACGTGCAGGCGTCGATTTTTACAGTCCATTTTATATATATATATGTGTGTGTGTGTGTGTGCGCGCGTGAGCTAGAGTAGTTTGAGAACAATGGACTGGACCGGGCAAATGTAAAAGGTCAGAGTTCCGTACCTGCGGAGTTGCTATGCTAAGAGTTTATTGTATGTATTACGACAGTTTTGCCGAAAGGCTCGGCTTCGCCAGGAGATGGCATACATGCGAGGACATCAGACTGCGCAGAGCAGTAAGCGGCTAGTGGGGCGAGAAGGACGTGACGTTAGGAAAAATAAAAGTAAAAAGACATATGAAAAAACACAACATATTGAAAGAAAATCACACGCCCAGTTAAAAAAAGAAAAAAAGAAAAGAAGTTTTACTTGAGCGCGCTTCCATGGTGGTTGGCGGGTTTCAAAGCTCCTCTAAGGAGGCGTATATGAGATCTCCGACAGTACAATGGGTATGGTGCCTGGACCGCGTCTCCCGACTGGTGTGTTTAGCGTGCTATCCCGCCCATACATCAAAAGTGGTCCCAAAGTGGCAACAAATGACGTCACAGAAGCCGGAGTGTCATGCTGCTGCATGTCGCGATCCTGGTGGTTGGTCGTAGAAATGCAGGCGAAAAACCGCAGGCGAACGCGAGTGTCGCTGTCGTCACGGCGTTCCAGGCGTCCCAACTGCCGGCTGCTTTAGCTTCCGAGGACTGCCGCATTGGAGAGCGACCTGCAGCAGAACAGGCGTCTGCCGCATACACCACAGCTATTGGGACGCCGCCAGGTTCGCGACCGGCGACAGCATGACACTTCTATGACGTCATCAGGCGGAAATCGAGGGACCACTTTTTTGGACCGGGTAAAAGACGCGTTCCAGGCACCGTACGGTGGGTACAATAGGTCATAAACAGACGGCACAGGCTCTGGAACGACATCTTCGCTACTGATTGCCCGTAAGGCTAAGCCGATGTGGGGGCCCGCTCTCTGCGACGGTCACCCCTCCTTCCCTCGGGCGCCGCACGCCGCGGCAGAGAGGGGAGCAAGGAGCAGATCAACACCTCCTAGAGAAGAAGGCCAGAGCGCTCTGAGAGGTTACGTCACAATGGCGGAGGAAGGAAGTCCATGGCGCAACTACGTGAGAATACGCTATCGACGTGAAAACAATGTCCCTTGACAAGCGGCGCGGTGGTGTTCGTTCATGCGCGTTTATCCGACATTAATATACGTTTTAAAGGCGCAGTCTTGTACAATTTATTATATATATAATATAAACGTATTATATAACGCGCTACCAAGGTTGAGAGTACCAAAATTATATTTATGAGTATTCCCGTAACCGCGGGACTACGTGCAGTTCCGCAGCACCCCACACTTTTCGAAGGGACCGGCTGCGATGCTGCTGATGCCACATGGCTTCGATTCTGGTAAATTTACGTTGTATGTGAGCTGCTGACTGTCTGAAAAGGAACGCTGAGACATCTCAGAAGGGAAGCAAACCGAAAAGAAATCCAGTCGTTGTCGCAGGGAGCCCACACCAGCAAGAGATGGGTCGACAACGTTAAGCCTTTCGTCGCCGCTGCTCTCGTCGCCGTTGCTCTCGTCGCCGCTGCTTTCGTCGCCGTTGCTCTCGTGTGTGGTATTTTTGAGACTTGTTTCCCGTCGTATTTCTGTCATCACCGTAGTCTCGGGTAGTTTTTTTGTGTGTTCGCTTGATACTACGGCATTTTGCGTGCATTTGTGAAACAAGTCCTGCTACGGTTTGAGTGACGTGTGACAACTAGCCAACGAAGGCTCTGGTCGACTAATCGATAGACCTCTCTCTCGACAGAGAGAGGCTTCTTGGAGTTCGTATTCAAATGTGTTCGTCACGGATATTGTGGGACGTATGGATACGATCGACAGGTGAGAAACAACTTATTTACGGGCTTTCTTGTTCATGTAGGACGCAAGTAAGATGCTGCAATCGTTTTTTTTTAATCGCATGATAAATTGCAATTTTGTTCCTTGTCATTATTCGTATGCAGTTGCGTCGACATTTGTAAATATGCGCGCTAATCTAGCTTTCACTGGAAGATGAAAATCAAGTTTGTGTGATTATTGAAAGTGAGTTGTTTGTGATTCTGTGTTTATTTATACTAAAGTTATTTTATTGCCTTTTCCGCGTTTATACTAGAATCTTAACTGTATTAAGGTGATAGTATTATTATATACAAAACAAGTTATGTTTTGTTCTAAGGCAGCTCGAGCCCATAGGGAGAAGTAAATTAGTAGACTTAGTAGTAAGTTTAGTACCCCTGCCACAGGGGAACGTTAATATATTTTCATTCAGTGATATAGGATTTAATCAGCTCGCGGTCTTGAGTGATTATACGAGCGCCGCAAGCGGATTTGTCGACCCTATAATGTCATTCGATCGAAATTACATTAATTTTGCCATGTGGCCGGGGTATGATGCAAGAATTCAGTGACTGCACGCGATAACGTCGCTTACATGATCGTGAGAAACGCTTGTCTTGCCTTGTCCGCGTTGACTATGTCTACCTGATTTTTAACTGTTCTGTTTTGCTATTTCAAAATCACTGCGCGTCTCGCCATTTTGTCAAAGTATTTCTGTATAAAATATGCATTCCTACAACAATAATTGCATGACTCAATGTTTTCGACTTAAGACAATCACATTTTTCGATAGACGTCTTGTTCGCATACCTCGTGCCATTTCGTACCGATTATTTAGCGGTGTAATATTTTGCTCGTGTAATAAAATGTTTTCTAGACCCGTTGCTATGTGCAGCTTTCATCTTAGATAATATGACACGCGTATGTGACTAAAAACGCGTTACGACGGTCGATCTACGCGCGTTGCATTCGCTTCGACGCGCGCCCCCGATGGCCTTCCTTTGCGACGTCACGAGAAGAGCGCTACGGCCTTGTCTTCTAGGAGGTGTTGAGCAGATCGTGGGGCAGGGGGGCGCGGGGGAGGGGAGGGGTGAATTGCCACTGGATAGCTGCAAAGACGTCGTCGTACCGGTCAGTGAATTAAAAATACAAATTGAAAGGATAGAACATTAAAATAAAAATTAAAATAAATACAGGTGCCTAGGGTCAAGACCGAGTAATGTTGTGTGCAGTAGGACGGCATGGTGCGGAAGGCACAGATTTGCATCGTCTTTCAATGAAAAAGTATAATATTAGCGGATCTCGCATATGAGTGGGTAAAATGAGGAAAAAGGAAGCAGCGGGCACAGAAGCGCGTCTGGAAGGCTCTCTCTCTCTCTCGCTCTCTCACTCGCTCGCTCGCTCGCTCGCTCGCACGCACGCACGCACGCACGCACGCACGCTTGGTCAGGGTGAGTATTGGTGCTCCCTGTTAATTCTTAGACAATGTTTTAATCGCTGCAAGCGTTCCTAGATTTTCATTTATTCCTTTATCGATCGTGTTCAATCGGCATATGAGATACGATTCGCGCTGCTCCCGTTCGCGGTCTGACTTAAATCCGGTTTCAAGGATCGTTACCGAAAGTTTCTCGAACGAATGATGTGGGAGGCTAAGGTGCTTTGAAAGGGGCAGGCTTGGGAGCGATTTTGAATGAGATTTGTGATTATTAAAACGCTTCCTGAATGCTGTCTTCGTTTGCCTTATATATTGCATTTTGCAGACACTGCACTCAAGCAAATAAACCTTTAAAGAGGCAGACGTCAGGTTCCCTAGAAGTTTTTAAGAGAATTGCGATTGTGTGCTGCCGGCGCTGCTAGTATCTTGCATTTGTTTGCAGACCAGACATCCCGGTTTCGTGCACAGCGTGCATTCGTCATTTGACAATGACGAATTCAGTCGAGAGTTTACAAGTGAGTTTCTTCGGTTACGTGATCGCCTGTATACCACATGAAGGGCGGACGGAAACGCACGTTTAAGGCGTTCGATTTTTTCTTTAATATTATAGTGCCGTCTCAGTAT